TGTCGAGGCTGCGGTGGCCGGGAGCAGCTACTGCACTCCAGTCTGGGTGACAGAGTGAGACTACAACTCAAAAAAATAAAAATAAAAATAAATAATAATTTCTTTCTTTCTTCCTTCCTTTCTTTCTTTGAAGAGATGCGGCTGGCCTCAAATTCTTGGGCTAAAGTGATCCTCCCACCTTAGCCTCTCAAATAGCTGGGACTACAAGTACACACCACTATACCTAGCTAAAAATCAATATATTTAATATTAAAGACAAAAGCCTTCATTAAAAAGTCAGGATACTGAAAGTGTTTTACCTGACGAAATATCTCTGTGACAAAGTTTACATTACTTCTTTTGGAAGAAAAAACTCTGCGAACTATTTCAATGTCTGTAAGATGTTCTTCATCAATACTACAGAGACTAGATGAGCTAGGTTCTCGCTCCGTGAGAGTGCTGGTATTGGAATGAGATTGTTCTGGTTCTGTAGCTCTGTCTGCTTTATCAGCATTATCATTTTTGTTTTCTTCTCTGGATACCAAACTAGCAGCTGCTCTCTAAAATAAAAACAAAAGGGGAAGAATATCATAATCATTTAACTGGGTGTTTTGTCATTTAACAATAAATACTGGCAGAACCCAAAGAATTCCACAAATAACTTACAGAACTGTTAAAAATCCGAGACATATAAACTAAATATGTCTAAATAACTAAATAAACTAAATTTAGTTTATTTATTTAAATATATGTTCTAGTTCATTTAGAATCTACTCTATATAATTAAATGGCAATGCAAAGAACTCAACATCTAAGTGACAAACAGATACTCCAAGATGTGTAGTAACTAATCATCTACCCACCTATAATTAAATTTGTCTCTCAGCAAGTCTGCAGTTCAAACAAGATACTAATTAAAGCTGGATGAAAGAATGACACAGAGGCAGCTCAGATTTTAAAAAATAAGTAAATAACTTAATATTGAACTACTTACCTAATAAAGTTTGAATGTTAAAATCATCTCTATTTTACCTTATGTAAAAATGAACACAAGTAAAAACTTCTTAAATAAACAAACAAAAACAAAGAAAACAAAAGTTATAACAGAAGTAGAAATGAAACTAAAAGACAGTGTCAGAAAACTTTACAGAAAATTCTATGATTGTTTGTTTTGAGACAGAGTCTCCCTTTGTCACACAGGCTGAACTGAAGTGTAGTGGGGAAATTATAGCTTACTATAACCTCCAACTCCTGGTCTTAATTAAGTGAGCCTCCTGCCTCAGCTTCTTGAGTAACTTGGACTACAGGCATGTGCCACCACAGCCAATTAATTTTTTTTCTTTTTTTTTTTTTTTGAGTTGGAGTCTCACTCTGTCGCCCAGACTGGAGTGCAGTGGCCGCTCCCGGCCACCGCAACCTCAACCTGCTGAGCTCCGGCGATCTTTCCACCTCAGCCTTCTGAGTAGCCTGAATTAGAGCCATGCGCTACCACACCCGGCTAATTTTGTTGATTTATTGTAGAGATGAGGTCTCGCTGCCCAGGCGGGTCTCGAACCCGCGGGCTCAGGCAATCCACTCACCTCAGCCTCCCAAAGGCGCGGGATTACAGGCTGAGCCACCGAGCCCGGCTTTTTTTTTCTTTTTTTAAGATAAGGTCTTCACTATGTTGCCCAGGTTTTTCTTGAACTTGTGGTCTCAAATGATCCTCCCACCTTGACCTTACAAAGCACTGGAATTAGTCATGAGCCACTGCACCTGACCAAAAACTCTATAAAAAATGATAGAATTTTCACCAAAACTGAAGACTAAGCCTAGGAAAAGGTCTTAAAATAGTAATAAGTAAATTACTACTGTTTTATGGTAGAAGTAGCACTACTCGGAACTATGAAAATGACTCCATGTTAACTCAATTTTTGGTCCTAGTTTTGCCATTCATAAAATAAGAGAGTTTAAACAAATGATCTCAAATATGCCTTCCCAATTTAAAAAAATCTACGATTTCTATTCATTAAGCTTTAGAATCAGAAAAATAGTTCTGCTTGATATTGATAGGTTGTGCATTTGGTAATTCTTCATAAAGAATGGAACAAAGTTTTGGGGAAAATGCTACATACAGTCTGCTACAGATAATTAAAAGACTAATGGGAATATAAGTCAAATTTTCTGAACTCTAATGAACTAAAACACACTCTATGCCTCCATCCTATTTTTATTTTTTTATTTTATTTTTTGAGTTGTAGTCTCACTCTGTTGCCCAAGCTGGTATGCAGTGGCATACTCCCAGCCACCCCAGCATTGACTTGCTGGGTGCTGACGATCCTCGCACCTCAGCTCTCCAAGTAGCCAGAACTACAGGAGCACGCTACTATGCCTGGCTAATTTTTTTTTTTTTTGAGTTGGAGTCTCACTCTGTCGCCCAGACTGGAGTGCAGTGGCTGCTCTCGGCCACTGCAACCTCGACCTGCTGGGCTCCAGCAATCCTTCCTCCTCAGCCTTCCAAGTAGGTGGAATTACAGGCATGCGCTACCACGCCCGGCTGATTTTTTTGATTTATTGTAGAGATGAGGTCTTGCTGCCCAGGCGGGTCTCGAACCCGCGGGCTCAGGCAATCCACTCACCTCAGCCTCCCAAAGGCGCGGGATTACAGGCTGAGCCACCGAACCCGGCTTAATTTTTTTTATTTACTGTAGAAATGAGGTCTTGCCAAGTTGTCCGGGCTGGTCTTGAACCTGCAGGCTCAGGCAATCCATTTGCCTCAGCCTTCCAAAGTGCTGGGATTACAGCTGAGCCACTGAGCCCGGCCCCTTCATCCTATTTTTAAAAGACTAAAGAAATTATCAAAAAATATATATATAGTTTAAAATTTTAAAAATTAAACAAGAAAATCTGAGAAAAGGAAAATTAAAATAGTAAAGATATTGTAATATAGACATGATCAGAAAGATGTACAATGAGGGAAAGGAAAAATAAAAAAAGGAGTACAAAAAAAGAGGTAAATTGTAAAATCTAATAAAACAGAATTTTAAATATTAATTCTGCTGTGGTGTGTAATTTTATTTATTTTTAAATTATTTTAAATTTAGGGGATACATGTGCATACTGCATAATGCTGAGGTCTGGGATTCTATCAAACCCATCGACCATACAGTGAACACAGCACCCAACAGGTAATTTTCAATCCTTGCCTCCTTCTCCCTCCTCCCTTTAGGTGCCGTCAGTGTCTATTGTTGCCCTCTATATCCATGTGGACCCATTGTTTATTTACCTCCTATTTGTAAATGAGAACATGTGGTTTTTGGTTTTCTGTTTCTGCATTAGTTCATTTTTATTTTTTAATTAAGAAAACTATTAATTCTACAATAATTGTTAGAATGTGGATGTATGGGCCAGGCGTAGTGGCTCAGCCTGTAATTCCAGCACTTTGGGAGGCGGAGGCGAGAGGACTGCCTGAGCCTGGGAGTTTGAGACCAGCCTGGGCAACTTGGTGAGATCTTGTCTCTACAGTAAATCAAAAAATAAGACGGGCGTGGTAACACATGCCTGTGGTTCCAGCTACTTGGAAGGCTGAGGCAGAAGGATTGTCTAAGCCCAGCAGGTCAACGCTGCAGTGGCCATGAGAGTGCCACTGCACTCCAGTCTGGGCAAGATTCCAACTCAAAAAAAAAAATGTGAATGTACGAAATATATTTACACAAATAAAATATGCCTATTGTTTGTTTCAAATGTGCTTTACACACTTCAGTTCTAACGCAACTGAAATCATAAGACTAAATTTCAAAAGCCATTTCTAACTTTACCAAGCTTGCATCTGCACATTACCTGAATATTCTTTGGCAAGACTTCACCTTCCATCCCAGGAATATGAGGTCCTGCATGTGGTTTTGGCTCCAGCCAGAAAGAAACTAGCCAACGAATGACAATAACACGAGCCTTAATGAAAGGCTCCTTTGTACAATAGATTGCTTCATTGGTTTCAGCATCCTTTTTTACCAAGACATAATGTGGCTTTGGTCTTGTCTGTGGGATATCTGTGCAAAATAAAAGGAAAACAAAAACCAAATAAGAAAAAAATTATGCTTACAAAAATCTACATTTTTTTCACATTTGAGAACACATTGTGATGCTACCCGGAATTTACAAGTAGCTGTATCCCATCTCCTACCTTGGAGAGATGAATCCCTTCTCTCTCTCTAATTTACTTTCTAAATAAACTATATTTTCTAATCTAAAAAAAATAGCTTTAGTACAAAAATGACATTTTAGAATTTCCTTGACGCTAGTATGGAAACCAGAAGAGTAAACCATATATACTAGGCTGATACATGGAAACATGTCTTTTTGCAAAATATCATCAAAATGTTCATGAATTTGCCAAAGTACAAACAAGCTTCCAGAGCCATTTAAAATTAATGAGGCCAGGTGCGGTGGCTCAGGCCTGTAATCCCAGTACTTTGAGAGTACAAGGCAAGAGGACTGCTTGAGCCTAGGAGTTCAAGATCAGACAAGGCAACACAGACCTCATCACTACAAAAAAATTTAAAAATTAGCTGCACCTTGTGGTACGTGCCTGTAGTACAAGCTACTCAGAAAACTGAGGCAGAAGAATTGCCTGATCCCAGGAGGTCAAGGCTGTGGTGAGCCATGATTGTGCTATTGTGCTCTAGCTTGGGAGACAGAGAGAGATCCTAACTCAAAAAAAAAAAAAAATTAAAATTAAAATTAAAGAGAGCTCACTTCAATTAACCTAAGACTGAAACACATATTCTGAAGTCATACAAACTGTAAGGTTTTGCCTAAGCCTGTTAATTGCCTACACTTGGCATTAGGAACATCTTTCTACAAAACAGACATTCCCACCTACAGACTCTCAATGTCTTCCATACATGGCAGAGGTCTGCTTCTAACCCAGGATTTTTTCCTCAAGGCTCTAGTTTCAAGGCTCCAACAGATATCTTAGCACAGCCACTATATATATAAATACTGGACAAAACGTAATAAAAATATGTATGACAATTTAATTATTCACACAGAATTTGAGCAAGAGGTGACAGAACTGTTGGGGGACCTTAAAAAGAAAATTTATAATATAGTCTTAGGATCATACCAAACACTGAAAATCAGCTTAATTGATAATCACAAATATTTATGGTGGGTTAATTTTTCCAGTGGATGAGAATCCAAAGAATACATGTTTTTTTAAAAAGATCTCTTCATTCTTAATAAAATTTCCTATTGATATAAATATACTTTCAATATGAATCTAGGCATGGTATCTCTACCAATCAATACAAATATAAAACATAATCAGTTTTCTGCAGTTAACAAATGTCAACTTTACATCTGTGTGATCTTTTAGAAAATTCCAAACACTACCTACCAAGTATAGGATGATATAAACTGTTCTCCTTGCAGATGTTTGGGAAAATGTAAGGCAAGTAATATTTCTTAAAATGTGAAAACAAAAATGAAAATCCTCTTTCTTGGTTTTCTTTGTTCTTCCATTCTAAACTTTTTACCTAAAAATAAACAATATAATTAGACTCGTTCCAGGAGACAGAATCTCTTCAATGCAAGTATTAGCTTTTATAAACAAGATTATAAAAGGTTACAATACACTGAACTGTTACACTGTGAAGATCATAATATACAGCATAAGGATAAATCTTTAAAATTGGTGTATTCTGAAAAACTGTGAAAATGACTCAATATTTGGCTCTACTAATGACTAAGATACAAATGTTCTTTCCCTTTTGCCCCTTCTGAATAATTCAGCCTAAAAGTAATACAAAATATATGGACATATATGGCCAAGGGTGTGTGCATACGTAAGCACATGTGTGTCCACATGTAAGCAGCGGCAGTAGTCAAGTGTAGATAATCAGAGCCTGAGCACAGAAAGCAGGGTATTCATGAAGGAGGTATAGCAGAGGGAGTAGCCCAGTGGGAACTCACAGCTGAGAAAGGGAAGGGAGGCGTCCGTGAAGTGGAGGAAGGAAGAACAGGAGAAGACAGAGCACTATAATATAGGGTGTCAGAACCCTAATAGGTAAGAAAGACTTCTAAGGCCCACAGTGGGAACTGGAGCCCAATAAAGTTAAGGAGAATGTGCAGAGAGGGCAATGGTAGTAATGGGAGACTGACTACTTACAAGGGGGATTGATTAAATAAATAAATACACTAAGAATAAAGTGAGTCACATTTCTCACTGACAAGGAAAAGAGCTATTAACATGGAAAGGAAGAAAACAGAAGGAACTCTGTGGTACTGGATTGAAATTTGGGGTACTGGTATGAATTTATAGTGTGAAAGATAGGAATATGAATGTGTGTGTATGTGTATACACTCCCTAGCTTTGACCACTAAGAAGATGCAGGAGAAGCAACACTCCAATAGCAGTGAGCATCCTAAGTGTCCAGTTCTTCGATACAATCTCTGCTAAAATGAATGATAGCACATTAGAGAAACCACAGATCCCAGAGTGAGCAACAAAAGGACTAAATGAGCCTGGAACATCTTATGGAGCCAGGAAATTAGTGCTCAAACACTGATGGAGATGAATCAAAAGGCCAATTATTCAGCTTGAAGGAGCTACAACTAGCCAAATCTAGAACAATCTGAGCATCAAAGTAAGTAACAGTAATGAATACTAACACATGGATTCACAGGAATACATAAATTCATGTTGAGATTAATAATTAAATAAACAGGGAAGGGAGAAAGTTTTTTCCTACACTTGCCAACTGCTGGATATATAAGTAATGATCTAAAATGTCATTTAGCCAAAGAGTGGAAACAACTCAAGTATTCATCAACTGATAAAGAGATAAACAAAATTTGATGTATATGTACAATGAAATTTTACTGAGCAATAAAAATGAAGTACTGCAACATCCTACAACATGAACAAATCTTGAAAACATCTGCTAAGTAAAAGAAGTCAGTCAATAAAGATTACATATTATATGACCCCATTTATATGAAATGTCCAGAATAGGCAAATATATAGACATAGAAAGCAGATTAGTGTTTGTCTAGGGCTAGGCATGGAGGTGTTGGGGGGATAAGAGGACTGATTCCTAATGGGGTATTGGATTTCTTAAAGAAGGACTAAAATATTCTAAAATTACATTGTGATGGTTGTATAATCTTGTGAATACATCTTTTTTGGGGAGGTAGGAGTCTCACTCTGTTGCCTAGCTCACTTCAGTCTCTATCTCCTAGGCTCAGATGAACCTCCCAGTTCAGCCTCCCAAATAGCTGGACTAAGGGCACATGCCATCATGCCTAGCTCATTTTTTAATTTTTTTAGAGACGAGGTCTTGCCATGTTGCCTAGGCTGGTCTCAAACTCCTCGGCTCAAGCAATCTTTGAGCCTTAGTCACCCAAAGTGCTGGGATTAAAGGTATGAGCCACCACACTTGGCCAGAATACACTTTAGAAAACATTGAACTATACATTTTAAATGAACAAACCATGTGGAATGAGCATTATATCTCAATCATACTATTTTAAAAAAATTACCAGATGGCAACTATACTAGTTATAATTCAGTCAAAAGTCTTCAGTGAATGCTAGCTAAAACATGAGTGAAATCTCTATAAGAAAGGAGATATCCCAATCTTCAAAGTTTTCAAAGATAAACAATCTCAACAAAAAAAAAAAAAAAAAAAAGAAAGGAGATATTTACATAGTTACAAAGTAATTCCCATAAAATACTTATTGATTATAAAAGTTAAAAGATTAAGATTACACTGGAAAATCCTGGCAGATACCACCTTAATCAAAAGATCAAGGTCAACACTGCTCATATATCACAATTAGTTCAAAATGGGCCATAAACCTTAACGTAAAACATAAAACCATAAAACTTCACAAAGAAAATGTAGGAGAATATCTTTGTGACATTTGACAGGCAAATATTTCTTAGAAACAAATTCAAAAAATTAGATCCCATAAGAGAAAAAAGTGATATACTGAACTTCGCCAACATAAAAAAAACTTATTCTTCAAAACAAAAACCAAAAAAAAGAGCAGTCTTCAAAAGAAGCCTGAAAAACAAATATTAAAATGAAAAGATAAGCTACTGGGAGAAAATATTTGCAAAAGATATATATTTGCAAAACATATATTTGCAAAACATAAAGACTTCTATCAAAACTATATTTTTAATAAGACAAATAACCCAATTTAAAAATGGGCAAAAAAAGAAAAAAGTGAACAGGTACTTCACCCAAGATATATGGATATATGACAAAAAAGCACATAAAAGATATTCAACACATCATTAGCTGTTTATAGAAAAACAAATTAAGATCACAATGAGATAGCAATACACACTCACTAAAATGGCTAAAATTACAAACTGACCATACAGACTGTTGGTGACTATGTGAAGTAACTATATAAGTCTTATACTCAGGTGGAATGAGAAAAGGTACAACCATTTGGAAAACAGCTTGGCAGTTTCTTAAACAGTATATACCTACTACATGACCCAGCCATTCCACTTGTTAGGCATTTACCCAAAGGAGAAGAAAGCATATATGCACATCAAGATTTGTTTACTAATATTCATAGCAGTTTTACTTTTAATAACCAAACACTAGAGACAACCTGATAATGCTATTTATCAACAGGTAACCGGTGTATCCATACAATGGAATGCCACTCAGCAATAAGAGAAGCAAACTATTGATATGTACAAATTGAACAATTCCCAAAATAATTACACTGACCAAGACCAAAAAAAGAGTATGTACCTTATGGTTCCATTTATATGAAAATATGAAAAATGCTAACTAATCTATAGTGACAAAAAAACACACCAATGATTGGGGATGGGATGGCAACATGGGAGTTCAAAGGGACAAATTATAAAGGGATCTGAGAAAACTTTCAGGGGTAACACATTTATACATTATCTTAACTGTGGTGATAATTTCATGGTTGTATACATGTAACAAAATTCATCAAATTGTAAACTTCTAATGTTGCAGTTTACTTGTATATCCATTGTACCTCAATAAACCAGCAACACCATTTCTAAAATCCAACTGAAGTAAATTCGTTCAAAGAAAAAGTTGTAATAATAACAGTAACAACTACCCACTACAGAACCCTTACTCCATTCTGTGCACCTTTTTATTTTAAGCATTTGCACTACCTAAACCACAAACACCAAAACAGAATAGGTATTTTTTATCTGTATTTCACAAATGAGGACACAGAAGCACAGGATAGTTAAGTAATTTGCCAAAGGTAACACTATTAGTAAAATGTGGAATCAGGGCTCAAACCTTTCAATCTGGTTCAAGGTCCAAATTAACTTTATAATGTTTGTTTCTGAGGGAATTTCTGAATTTCAAGAAACATATATGAGCTAATAAGAGTGTTTCCATCAATTAGGTCATGCACATTTCATATCTAGATGTAAATAGGTTACCTTACATGCACCTAGAAAGTCAAAAGGTACAAGCAGGTTTAAGTATAAATTGTACTTCTCCCTAGACCCTATCCTGTAGCCCACTTTCCTAGTTGTTACATCTATGCAGATTAGTTACTAAATGAAGAATTTATTAGTTTTTCATTTAAAGTATCACAGTCACTAATTAAAAATGAAAGGATTAGAAAATTAGGCCAATTGGCTCACATAGGAAGGCATATACATAGAGTCTACCTTACCAAGTCTCTCTCCAACTTCCTTTCTAAGCATTTCATAATCCCTCCAAAGATGTTGGATCCTCCAAAGAGGATATTAACACATTTTCAAGAGTAAAAATTTGCCATTCCTTCTTCAAGAAATCAAGCAAAAGCATCTACTTGACAGACCTAGAGTAGTTACTGTCTACTGCTAAGGTTTCCACTACACATGCAAGAGAAACATGTCCTCAGGATTTCTGTCTATCTGGCTGTAGTAGCCAAGACTGACTAGAGGGATATAGGGGAAAATATGGAAACAGAAGCTTCACAACTCAGGAATAACCTTATAAACAATGAAAAGTCTGTTCTACTCCAAAGAAGAACCTAAAATTAAAGTTTATACAAGAAGCATTGGGAAATATCCCCTAACACTCTCACTGTAAAAGCTTAAAGGCTACAACTAATTAAAAATAAACCATTGACTCTTTGGTTCCTCCCCCACCCCCCCACCCCAAGAAAATGCTATGATAGAATAATGGCAAGAGAGGGAAAAGGGAATTACCCACACAAGACAGTAAGGGGAGTAATATCAAAGAAGATAACAAGTACCTGAATTACTATATATTTTAAAAGTGCTTCAAGAAAATAGCTTGTGAGATCTTCTTGCCCTTTATCTCCTGATTGAGGTGGGACAAGAGGAGTAATTTCTTCTATAGTGACTTGAGCTATCCAAAGACAAAAAATTGTATAATTACAAAACAAATTTAATAATACAACAACATGATCAAATGAAACTTAACTGCAAAACATGAATGCAATGAAAACTGCTTGAAAATTTTCTAACAACTAAAACTTGAAATAAATCTGAGGTCATCCCTGAAAGTCCATCACAACAATAATAAACTTTAATAATCAGTTGTTTTGTGAACACTTGATTGAAAAGAAAGTGACAAAGGGGGTGGATATTGAGTAATTCCTATGCTGTGATTATAAGGGCATAACATTTCAGTTGAGAAATAACTTCTGATAATTTTTTTGTTTTTTGAGTCGGAGTCTCACTCTGTCATCTAGGCTGAGGTACAATGGCATGATCTTAGCCACCAAAGCCAAGACCTGCTGGGCTCAGGAGATCCTTCTGCCTCAGCCTTCCAAGTAGCTGGGACTTCAGGCACATGCCACTACACCAGGTTAATTTTTTCTTATTTATTGTAGAATGAGGTCTCATCGTGTTCTCAAATTCTGGAGCTCAGGCATTCCTCTCACCTCAGCCTCTCAAAGTACTGAGATTATAGGTGTGAGCTACCACACCCAGCCAACTTCTGATAATTTTAAATGTACATGAAGAATGTCCAAAAATTCAACAATTTGATGAAAAACATTAGCAATAATGCACTTATTCATCAAAGTAACAATCTGATAACACTTATTAAAAAAAAGAAACTTGGGTCAGGTACAGTGGCTCACACCTGTAATCCCAGCACTTTGGGAGGCCGAAGTGGGAGGATTGCTTGAGCCCAGAAGTTCAAAACCAGCCTAAGCAACACAGCGAGACCCTATCTCTTAAAAAAAAAAAAACAAATCAAAAAATTAGCCAGGCGTGGTGGCATGTGCCTGTAGTACCAGCTACTTGGGAGACTGAGGCAAAAGGATCGCCTGAGCCCAGGAATTCAAGGTTGTGGTGAGCCATGATCAGTTACTGCACTCCAGCCTGGGTGACAGGTAAGACCTTGAACCCTTCCCCCCAAAAAGAAACTTACATTTGTTACTTTTCAGACATTAAAAAAAAATTGATTATAACAAATGCAAGAAAATCAACTCACAACTAGCTGAATTCTCTTAAATCTTTCCTAAGCAGAACAATTAGCATCTGGTTAACAAATGCAGTATTTGTCATGAAACAAAGTGTGTGTCACCAAAATTCTTATCTTGTAACCTTAACGCCTAATGTGACTATATTGGAGATAAGGCCTTTAAGAAGGTAATTAAAGTTACATGAGGTCATAAGAACGGGGCCCTAAGTAGATAGCACTGGTGTTCATATGCAATAAGAGGAAGAGACACCACAGGGCTTGCTTTCTGTGTTTGTGCATACGCACAAGTACACAGAGAAAAAGCTATATAAGGATGCAACAAGAAGGTTCAGGTCTGCAAGCTGAGAAGAGAGCCCTCAACAGAAACCAAATCTGTGGGCTCTCTGACCTTGAACTTCCTGCCGCTAAAACTGTAAAATAATACATTTTTGTTGTTTAAGTCACCCAGTCTGTGGTATTTTGTTACAGAAGTCCTAGCCAACTAACATAATGCGATATATAATGTTTGCGCATGAAAGAATAAAGACTATATATTTATAACAAAAAGCAAAATCACTGTAAGTTATTTAAATTGCAGTACTGATACAGGAAGAAAATAACTAAAGAAGTGAAAAAATCACAATATTAGAAAAATTTAAGGTAAAAAGCACAAATATTCACTAATAAATGAAAGCAGAAATTAAACATTATTGAAATTATAAATCTAAAAATAAGACTATTATTGGAGAGTTATAAAAATTCAATTTTTATGTAACATTTTTACAGTCATCTACTGTACAAAATAAAGCACACTTGTATTTCAATGTACCTCCAAATAACTTCAGGATACAAAGTGATACATAAAAGAATAGAAATTAAAAATAAATGTTAAATGATCTGTATTAACTATATGTTTCTGATTATTAGAAATCTGATGTCTTGCACACTCTGGAGAAAATGTCGCTCCAAGGACTAGCCGATTCCTAGAGAGGATAAATGAGTAGCTGTGAGTGTGCCCTTCATATTCAAACAAGCCAACTAGAGACCATACGTCTACCCCATCCTCTACACTCACACTCAGGGCCATTATTCCTCTATCCTAATTACCCCTGGTCTAGGTACCAGACAACTAGGGACAACCTTTATGTCCCAGAGCCCACTGAAGTTATTTAACCCTTTGTACTCGAAGCCATCCTGCAGATCATCTACTAGCAACTCAACTGCACCTTTTTACAAAATAGTGAAAAACGAATCATTTCATATTAAACAGTATAGCATTGGAACCAATTATTTTATTGCAATTATGGCTGGCTTATAATGGCATTTTGGACATCAAGAAACTTACTTATGACAAAAAAAATCAAAATTTTGTGTCATATATTTTCCTAATGTATGGTAACATTCCAAACAGTCACCAACATGCATTGCAGGTTGATTGATACATGTTATGTAACAGTATAACAGTTTGATGTCTTCTACCTGATGTTTTTCTTTTTGAGCAGATAATTGCAGTCTTGTTTTTTTCCCTCTTACATTAATAAATACTATGTAATTTGGGCTGGGCCTGTAATCCCAGCACTTTGGGAGGCTGAGACAAGAGGACTGATGAGCCCAGGGGTTCGAGACCAGCCTGGGCAACTTGGTGAGACCTCGTCTCTACAATAAATCAAGAAAAATTAGCCAGGCGTGGTGGCACATGCCTGTAGTTCCAGCTACTTGGAAGGCTGAGGCAGGATGGCCTGAGCCCAGCAGATCAAGGCTATGGTGGCCAGGAGTGTGCCACTGCACTCCAGCTTGGGGGCAGAGTTAAGACTCCAACTCAAAATAACAATAATAATGATGATGATAATGATAATACTAATAAGCAATTTATTGTCCAGTCTGTTGTCTGAAGATGATGTGGAAGGACACACTTGTGATTCCTGAAAACGACTTCGCAACTGATCAGAAACCTGACAAATTTCAAATGGGGCATGGGTTTTTATATGGAAAAATTCAAGGAAACATACATTTTTGAAAAATGTGTGCTTTCATAAGTTTGTCCTGTATAATCACAAGCAATCTCTTTATGTCTCCTGAGAGAAAACATCCAAGTGGTTTGCTAGATTTATGGATGTCCCTTTTGAAAGGAGAGCTGAGTGCAAAGGGTTAAACTAGGTAACTTGAAATTTGCCTGTTTCTTCCCATAGAAACCATAATAAAGGTTCTTCTCCATGTTTCTCCCTGTTCCCTCTGCCTTCTGACCTACCCAGGAGCTTCCCCATGTAGCCCCTGTGGCATAGCATACCTATTCCTCTTGGGAACTATGAGTAACAAACTATTTTTCAACAACTCCCTTGATCTGTTGGCCACATCATATCTGAATAATAATAAAACTTTTGTTTTAAAACATTGCCTTGGATTACCCAGGTAATAAATGTACAGACATTTTGAAAAAATACATTAACAGACTATACAGAAAACAAAAATAATGATGGACAACAAGCCATGAATCTTACTTTCTTGAAGGTTTAGTGGAGGATTAATAAGATTATCTAAAGTTCGAGGTCCATGTTCAGATTGTGGTGCTGAAAATCCAGGGATTAAGCATGAAAACATCCAAAGCTGTTCTTTGCTACAGTTATTCTGAAGAGCTTGCAACCATAGTAAGAAAAGACGAACACCTTCCCGCCTAATCTAAAATAAAATAAAAACATCACATTTTTATTTATAATATAAATACTTTTCCATTTAAAAACTAAGTTTTTAAAAATCATCTCCAGATGGTGATTACAGAATGACACTTTGGAGAGAGGGGAAATGGGAGGGAAAGAGGAAGAAAGGGACAGACATTATAACCACGGCATCTATTGAACTCTCATTATTTAGAAATCTAAATACATAGATTTTAACAAGTAAAGAATAAACCTGGTCTCTAACTTTTTAATGGCATCAGATAATTTTTATTCTATAACATCCATTTGTGAAAAATCAGAAAATCATTTCCTTCTTGTCTACTTCTCTATCTCCTATCACCACCAGTCTAATTCAAGAAAAGAAGAGACAGAAAGGTGACGACAATGAGTTTTATAAAAGTAGGAGATTTCAGGGATCCTAAGGAGCACACTGTTAACTCAATGCTTTCTCTCTAAAAGTTCTGAAGTTATTAAAACTATTAAATTTAAATTATTAGGTCGGGTGCAGCAACTCACACCTATAATCTCAGCACCCAAGGAGAAAGGACTGCCTGAGTCCATGGCTTGAGACCAGCCTGGGCAACTTGGCAAGACTTCATCTCTACAATAAATCAAGAAAAATTAGCTGGGCGTGATGGCACATGCCTGTAGATCCAGCTACTAGGAAGGCTGAGGTGGAAGGATTGCCTGAGCCCAGCAGGTCAAGGCTGTGGTGGCAGTGGGTGTGCCACTGCACTCCAGCCTGGGCAACACAGTGAGACACCAACTCAAAAAAAAACTTAAATGATTAAAAGCAAAATTATTAAAGTTATTATTTAAGTAAAAAGTATCTAAAAGTCCTCTGAAATGATCTCACTTATGTTATTATTTGCCTATACGAGGGAGGACCCCCAAACAACCAGAATTACCTTTTGGGGGAGCAGGTCCCTTGCAGTATACTTAGATCAAATGGTCAACCAAAGTTTTTATATGGAAATTTTGAGAAGACTGTATCATGATTTGTGGAAAAAATGTCCTGAGTTGTGGCAAACAGGTGATTGGTTATTCCACCATGACAACTTACCTGCCCATACCGTGCTGAGTGTTCGGCAGTTTTTGACCAAACAGTATGACCTATGTGTCCCACTTTCCCTATTCACCTGATCTCGTCCCAGCAACTTTTTTTTTGTTTCCCTGGATGAAAAAAAGTCCTTAAAGGGAAACATTTTGCCGATGTGGAAGAGGTGAAACAAAAAATGGCAGAAGCACAAAAAAGCATCAAAACTGATCAGTTCAAAAACTGTTTTTGAGCAGTAGAAAAAGTGTCTTGATAGATGTATTGCATCAAACGAAGAATACTTCCAAAGTGAGTGAAGTTTAAACATTTAAGAAAAATTACAAAACTTTAAATAATTTTTTAAATAAATTCTGGGATTTTTGGGCTCCCCTTGTAAGTTGCTAGACAGCAACTTTGTGCTATTACTATGGATATCTATTAGGTATCAAAGCACCTAAAACAAAACCCTGAACATAGAAGACAATAAATAGCTGAACCAATGAATGAATGCTCTCCCATCAATAAAATAGGAAAAGAGAAATAGAAAAATTCAAATTCTGACAAGCAAAGCACTAAGTTCTTCACTAGCCTAACCTCACTGGTATCTGTGACAATTACTCTACTCAGAGTTTTGTTAATGACCACTGTCAAAGTTATTCAACTGCTGCCACTTTCATGGTTTAGCAAGGTAACAGGAGAAAGATACAGGAAAACCTATTCCTTTATATTGTTGGACTCAAGCCTAGATGCCAAAAGTATCTCTAACAATGCGACTTTACCTAACCCACAGTAAGATGTTTTTAGAATGGGCAGCTTCATTTACCACAACACATGAGATAATAAAAAAGAAAAAGAAACAAGAAGATTTTTATTTATATTCACTACTTTCATCTACGTCTAAGAATGGCTATGATAAAATGGAGAATAACTTGTTGAATGACTAAAAAATATTTTTTTCTTAGGGACCACAAAAAGGAAAGTGAACCAAGTATGTATTTTCATACAAACTGTTACTATATTTTAAGTGAACTCACAACAATTAAGTAAATTAAACAATCTTTAGGAAAAAGATGAGGCAGGAAAAGTAGAACACATGACATGCATGTTTTATTTGGCTTTTTTTCCTAAGTCACAGAAAATAAATGTAATTATACTCTACCTTTAAGGAGTTTCCTGTGTGGAGTAGTTTCTTTAAAATCAATCCTGAAAAGAAAATATGACTAATTATTCACATCTTATCTATCTCTAAATGTTAGAGTTCTCGGTCAGACTTGAAAACACTTTTAAACAAGTCCTTGGCAACCTCCAAATTATTATTGGTGACTTTGATATCCTTCTGGTCATACTTGGGACCAGAAGGGGTATATGAAAAAAATCACCTTTTCAACACATGGCTTATTGCAATTAAACATGATTTATTTTATTGACAATAGCTAGGTCTGAAATTACACTTTATACAACAATCTATTGAGTATCTTTTATTCTAAGACTATAATTAAATAAAATATTTTATCACTGATACAAAGAAAATCCACTAAAGAAAATTTTCATTTAGTTAACCACAAATTCATAATTCTAATATTTCTTAACATGTTTCCATTATCTATTTTTAAGTTTCCAAAAGTCTTTAATATTTCTTTTTATTTTAAATTATGAAATAATTTAAACCTACAATAAAATATTGACTATAACATTAACAAACATCCAGAAGCCCACCATTCAGCTTGAATAAATCCACACAAAGTTCCAAGTTTATTTCATTTATTTACCTTATCTCTAATGTTTTACATAACTCTACAGGTATCACGAAAGCCCAAATCATGTTTTTCCTTTCTACCCCAGTGAAAACTATTATCCAGATTTTGGTATCAATCATTTCCAAACATTTTTATATTATTACTATTCCAATACAATATAAATGATATTACACAAAACAAGTCATTTGTAAGCTGTTTCTCATATTTATCATTAGCTTAAGAAATTCATCTATACTGAGCTATACAGCTCTAGTTAATTCATGTTAACTCCTTATATTCTATTCTACTGTATGAATGTACCACAATTTATCTTCTTTACATCAGGACATTTAGCTTGTTTTCAAATTTTTGCTATTACCAAGAATACCATATTATAAATTTTTGTTCATGATTCTCTATACACATGTGGATTTCTCTGGAGTATACAGGTAGATACAAAATTACTTTCAACTTTATCAAATATTGGAAAATCCTCTCCGAAGTAGTTGTTACAATTAATAGTACTACCACACGGTTGGCAGCACAAAACATTGGTAGGTGCTCTATTTGTTTTTTGTTTGTTTGTTTTTCATTTTTATTTTTTAAATGTGGGGTACCATTCAGAGTTATATAAAAAGTATATAAAAGGTCATTTTACAGGTAAAGTCCGGGTCTCTCTTTGGTCCCCACATCAGCTGGTTTGAGATCAGATACCCTTAATGTGCTCCGCGGATCCCTGCCCTGCTCCTTCCCCGGGCAGTTTCCCACTACTGCCAATCCCTTTCTTACAGTATTATAATAACTGTTCAGAGTCTGCTTATAAGTGAGAACATGTGGTACTCAGTTCTTTGTTTTTGTGCTATATCACTGAGTGTTGCAGACTTTAAAGCCATCCAGGTTGCTACAAAGTTCATAATTTTGTCCTTCTTTATGACTGCATAATATTCCATTGTGTATATGTACCACATTTTTAAAATCCAGTCTACTTTTGATGGACAGCATGGTTGATACCATGTTTTTGCTCTTGTGAATAGTGCTGCAATAAACATGTGTGCACAGGTACCTTTTTTGTAAAATGATTTGAGTCCCTCCAGGTATATTCCCAGAAGGGGGCTGTTGGGTCATATGGGAGGTAAAATTTTAGATCTTTTAGGAATCGCCACACTGTTTTTCACAGAGGCTATACTAGTTTACACTTCTACCAAGAGTGTAGAAGTATTCCCTTTCTTCTGCATTGTCTCCAGAATCTGTTGTTTTTTGTTAATGATGGTCACACAGATGCTCTATTTGATAATCTGATGAATTTTAAATATCTTAATGACATTTTCATTTGATTTTCCTAGTGATATTGAGTATCTTTTCATTTGGTCAATCAGGGTTTTGTAATTTGCCAATTTTCAATTGGGTTATCTATTTTTTTCCCCAAAGTAAAGATTTTCTTCTGTACTAATTCTGTCAGTTCTATGAATTGGAAATATATTCTCCCAAACAATTCAATCACATTATTGTTAGGTGGAAGGATGGTATCTTCTAGTGTACACACGTTTTAAATTTTAATATGGTCAATCTGCCAATGTTCTTCTTTCTTCTATGTACTTTCTGTGTCCAAAGATCTCCTCCTCCATGTCATAGTTATAGTGATAAACTAAATATCTCTTCAAAAAGTTTCCAGTATTGCTCTTAATATTTACGTTCTAAAATCCATCAGAAAAGTATTTCCTTGTGGGAGGTAAAGAATTTGTTTTTTCCCAAATGGATAACCAACTGTTACAAATTGCTTCACGGTTTATAATGTTCAAATGAACTGAAATGCTGTCTCTATCATATTTCAAGTGTCCATATGTAAGTCTAGGTTTTTGGCTGCTTTCAATGTTCTTTTTCATTAATCTACCTGTCCATCCCTGCACCACTAATAGTGTCATTATTACTATACTTTACAGTATAACTTGTTTCTGTTTTTGTTTTTGAGTTGGAGTCTCACTCTGTCGCCCAGACTAGAGTGCAGTGGCCGCTCCCGGCCACCGCAGCCTTGACCTGCTGGGCTCTGGCGATCCTTCCACCTCAGCCTTCCAAGTAGCTGGAACTACAGGTATGTACTACCACGCCCGGCTGATTTTTTATTTATTGTAGAGATGAGGTCTCACGGCCCAGGCGGGTCTCGAACCCGCGGGCTCAGGTAATCCACTCACCTCAGCCTCTCAAAGACGTGGGATTACAGGCTGAGCCACCGAGCCCGGCTTGTTATAACTTGTTATTGAGTATGGAAATACAAACAACACACCCTCCTTCTCCAACTTATCATTCTTCCAAATTGGTTTGACTTTGATTTTCCACATAAATCTAAGATAAATTTGCTGGGTTACATTAAAAGTCCCTATAAGAATTTTAAGTGATAACTGTTATCTTTATACTGTCAAATTTATCACCCATGAATATTACATAAAATTCTATTTATTCAAATTTTTTCTTCTCCTTCAATAATCATGACATTACCATACATTATTCTGTTTTAAATGACTACAGAAAACACATTATTTTCAAACACACTGGACATTCTATGAGAGAAACTTTACTCTGGGCCACAAAATGTCTCAATAACTTTAAGAAGATTTGAAAAAGCATATTTTCTGACCACAAAGGAATTAAGTTAGAAATCACACAAAAAAATCAATGTTTAAAAACATCATATATTTGAAAACTTTAAAAACAAAAACACTTAAGTTATGGATTAAAAAAAAAAAAAACTCCAAAAGGAATATTAAAAAATATTTTCAACAGAATGAAAATAAAAACACAACATACTAAATTTTTTAAGATAAAGCTAAAACAAACCTTAGAAATAATTTATAGTTTTAAAAATCTACATAAAAAAAGATAGACTAATATCTTAAGCCTATAACATAAAACATTTGAAATAGAAGAGTAATAAGTGGACCTTGAATAATTATCATAATACTATAAGAAAGGAACTGTCAGTAGTGGGAAACTGCCAGGGGACGGGGAGTAGGATTAGCAGTTGAGGGAAACTGCCAGGGAAGGGAGGGGCACACCTCATCAACAAGGGTTCCTGCATAATGAACATTTGTATACCTAAGCCTGAATTGTACCCCATAACTTTAAAATTAAAGAAATAAATAAAAAGAAATAAGAGTAAATTAGACTCAAAGCACGCAGAATTTTTAATAAAATATTAAAAGACTAGAATGAAAAACAATGAAATAGAAAGCAGAAAAAGTATAGAGAAAATCAAACACACCAAAAAAAGTTATGTGCAAAGAACAACAAGTAAGACAAATGTAATTAGTCAGAGCAGGTAATAAAATGTGGGAGAAGACACAGATAAGATAACCAAAATTAAGAATGAAAAAAGGAGGCCGGGCTCGGTGGCTCAGCCTGTAATCCCAGCGCTTTGGGAGGCCGAGGTGAGTGGATTGCCTGAGCCCGCGGGTTCGAGACCCGCCTGGGCAGCGAGACCTCATCTCTACAATAAATCAAAAATTAGCCGGGCGTGGTAGTGCACACCTGTAGTTCCAGCTACTTGGAAGGCTGAGGCGGAAGGATCGCCGGAGCCCAGGAGGTCGAGGCTGCGGTGGCCGGGAGCGGCCACTGCACTCCAGTCTGGGTGTGAGACTCCAACTCAAAAAAACAAAAAACAAAAAGAATGAAAGAGGGGACCTCACTACTGACCCTATAGAAATTAAAGTGATTATTATAAGGGAAAAACTTGAACAACTTTATAATAAATTAGACAATGTAGATAAAATACAGCAATTCCTAGAAACTACCAAAACTGATGCAAAAAGAACTATACAATCTGAATAAACCTATAACAACTAAATAAAATAAAATAACACAAATATTACAAAGTCCAGAAGATTACTTTTGAATCTTCTCAAATATTTTACAAAGAAAAATATTCCTATTCATTTAAAACCTCTTTCAGAAAATAAAGGAGAGACCACTTTCCAACTTATCTATGAGACTGATTATCTGGATATTAAACCCAATACAGACATGACAAAAAAACAACCCTACAGAATAATATTTCTCATAAAGGCAAGCTGAATTCTTAAAAATACATAATAAGTACTATAAACAGTAACCAAGTGGGATTTACTTCAGGAATAGAAGGCTGGTTTAATATTTAAAAATCAATCAGTGAAACACTTGATACTAGTAAAATAAATGACAAAACCACCAATGACACTGACAATGACTGTATGCAATAGATGCAGAAAAAGCATTTAACAAAAATATAATGCACATTCATCATTAAACATTCACAACAAGCTAGTAATAGAAAAGAACTTCCTCAATTTGATACTAGGCAACTACAAAAAAACTAGACTTAAAATTATACATAATGGTGAAAGATCGCTGCTCTCTAAAATCAGGAATAATGCAAGAATGTGTGCTCTGGCCACTTTTACTCAACACTATACTAGAAGTACAATAAACAAAAAAGAAAGAAAAAATTAAAGTCCCTGGATTAGAAATAAAAAGGTAACTGTCTTTATTGGCAGAGATATAATCCTACAGTAGGAAATCCAAAAAAATACACAGAAAAACAAGCAGAACTAGCAAATAAGTCATAATAAACTAGAAACAATACAAATGTCCACTAATTAGTGAAAAGATAAACAAAATATGATAGAATCCATGCAATAGAGTACTATGTAACAATAAAAAGGAATATTGATATATGCTATAATATGGATGAACCAAAAAATTATGCTATATGAAAGAAGACAGATGAAAATTACTATAAATTGGATGGTTTCTTTAACATATAACATCCAAAAAGACAAATTTATTTAAGACAGAAAGCATACTGGTGATAGGAATGGCAATTGACTATAAATGGACTCAAAGAAATATTTTGCAGTGATGGAAATGTTCTAAAAATGGGTTGTAGTTACTATATATATTTATAGGTGGAACATTTTCAATGTGAAAACCCAACATGCTCCAAAATCTGAAACCTCTTGAGAGTCAATAAGACACCACAGTGGAAAATTCCACAAATGACCTCATGTAATGGGTCACACTCAAAATTCCAACACACAGTTTATTCAGTGTTCCCAAGGGCGTTAAAAACCCTCCAGTCCACTTCATCTGCAAAATATATTTTCTGCACACGCCCAGATGTCCCTACACAAGCATGTCCACAAAGGATAACAAAACAGCATGTGTGTACAGCAGACCAGACATACCAACAGAAGGTTCTCCACAATGCCCAACGTGGGGCCAAGAGCTAAATGCATTACTCACAGTATTGTTTTGCGTGTGATACAAATGTCATTTTGCAAGTTCAAATAATCAAGATTGTCCTTATGGATGCCTGGGAGAGTGATACCTTTGCTTTCTGATGTTTCAGTGTATACTTTGTTTTGTGCTCAAAAATACTTAAAATATTGTATAAATTTACCTCCAGGCTATGTGTACAACGTATATATCAAGGTATATATAAAACATAAATGAATTATGTTTAGACTTGGACCCCATCCTCAAGGTATCTCATTATATATGTGTCAATCTTCCAAAAACTGAAAAAAGTTGAACTCTGAAACACTTCCAGGCATTTCAGATAAGAAATACTCAACTTGTACTAAGAATCACTGAGTTGTCTACTTAAATGGATAAATTTTATCTGCATAAATCATACTTCAATAAAGCAATTTTTAAAAAAAATTGTAGAAACAGGGCTTCACTATGTTGCCCAAGCTGCTCTCAAACTCCTGAGCTCAAGCAATCCTTCCACCTCGGTTTTCCAAAGTGCTGGGATTATAGTCGTAAGCCACACTGCACCTGGCCTCTCATAAAGCAATTGTTAAAAAATCAACTAGAGGCCAGGCACTGTGGCTCACACATGCAATTTCAGTACTTTGGGAGGCTGAGGCAGGAGTATGACTTGAGTCCTGAGTCCAGGAGTTCAAGACCAGCATCAGCAACATAGTGAGACACTGTCTCTACAAAAAAAAAAAAAAAAATCAAGCAAGTAGATGGGCATTATAGCAGACTATTGTCCCAGCTACTTGGGAAGCTGAGGTGGGAGGGTCACTTGAGTCTGAGAGTTCTAGGTTGCAGTGAGCCATGATTATGTAGTACAGTGGTACTACAGCCTGAGTGACAAGAGTAAGACCTCAAGTCAAAAAAAAGAGAAATTACTAGAGTCACCGATTTTATTTTCTTTTATATAGAATACAAAAAAGGAGACAGAATTGTAGGATTCTTCTGAGTGACAAAAGAAAAACGACAATATATGTATTTTCTCAAGTTACAGACTTTTTTTTGGAATATTGTTAGTCATGACAACTAGGTAGCCTAAAATTCCTTCAGAGATTAAAGGCTACATTCCTCAGAAAATGCAATAAATCTTTGAAGTCAAGATGTCTCAAAATAAGTTTCTCCATAGACAGTCTTCAAGAACATTCTTATGACTATGAAATAAACAACAGAATGTCACTATTCTATTGAACATCTTATGTGCTTATTAGAGTTCATGTCTTCTTTGGTTTAATGTCTAACTCAAATCTTTTGCCTATTTTAAAAATTGACTTGTTTTCTGACTACATTGTATTGTAAAGAGTTTGTTTTATATATATCATATATATGCATATATACATAACTTTTTGTCTCAAACTCACCTAAAACATTTATTCTAAAAAGGTTTCTATTTAGAATTTTGTCTGTTTAAGCAGCTGCATCAATGTCCTTATCTGTCCAGAATTCCTTCTGTTACTGGAACTGCTAATCAAAATAGCCTACAGTTTCAAAGCCACAGGTAAAATCTCATTTAAAAATGTAGGGTCTAAATAAATCTATGACTCTCTTTTCTAAGAGAAATAATTCAATTTTACAAATGAATGTAAGGTCTATAACATTCTACTTCAACTATGTCTATCTGTTGGTTGTGTATTGCTCATGAGAGAAGGGGCATGAGAATAACTAGCAATCAATCCTAACATCATTGAAACACTGGACAAAAGCCAACAACTGCCTACCCACAGACTTACTTTAAATCTGAGGGGGTAAAAATAAGTCTTATAATAAGACCTTGGGAGCCCTGCAGTGATACTGTAATTCAATTCCAAGCAGGCAAGCATTTTCACTTAGTTCCTGATAACAGAAAATCTGTAGTCTCCTGCCTACTTGGTTGCTGACAGTAATGTGCAACAGGGTTTTGTGTTTTTTTCTTTTTCTTTTGTTTTTTCAACTTCTTTCATGAGTTTAGAAGCCCTATTTTGGCAGTAAGCTTAGCTCCAGTTTCCCCTCCACCCCACCCTCACACCCGACCTTTGTGTGTGTGTGTGGTGCAATCTGTCATTTCATATTGCTTGCTTTCAAATCTGGAGCCCATAATTTCCAACCTACTTGCTCTTTGCATTTTTCTTCCATTTCTGACTCACAGAGATATCCACCCTTGATGCTGAGCCTGCTTTTTAATTTTTTTGGAGTCAGGGTCTCACTCTGTTACCCAGGCTGGAGTGCAATGGCACAATCACAGACAGCTCACTACCCTCAACTTCCTGGCCCAAGTGATCCTCCTGTCTCAACCTCCCGAGTAGCTGAGACTACAGATATATGTCACCACGCCCAGCTAATTTTCTGATGTTTTTGTAGAGATGAGATCTCCTTACGTTGCCCAAGCTAGTCCTGAACTCCTAAGCTTGGGCATTCCTCCTGCTTCGGCTGGGATTACAGCCAGGAGCTACTGTGCTGGACTATTTTTTGTTTGTTTTATAGTAATCATCATTGTTTATGTGTTCAGAGTAGAGGAAGTGGTAAATTTAAAAAACCTACTATGCCATTTGATTGGAAATCCTTCATCTACCTTTTTCTTATATTCCCAATAAGTTCCGGTATTAATTGTTTTTACTAAACCATAAACTATGAATTAATTTCAAATAACAACCAATTCATTAAAGAGCATTTTCATATATTATCATTTCTTTTCAACGTGAAATACATACTTAAATTACTTACCAATACTATGAAACTGCCAACGCTGATGAATTCTTTCTGGAAGAAGTTGTAAAATTTTCTAAAAATCAATATATATATAAAAAAAGAAAAAGAATGAGAAGTAATGAGTTCACATTCTGTAAAATGTGAAAAATTTAAAAACTTACTAAGTCTTTTAAAGTTTCCATGTAAAAGATAATAAAGACTCATGCCTGTAATCCCAGCACTTTGAAAGGCTGAGATGCGAGAAGTACATGAGCCTAGGAGTTCAAGATTAGTCTGGGGAATGTTGCAAGATCTTGTCTCTGTATTTTTTTTTTAAAAAGTAAAACAGTAATATAGAAAGTAAGTATATTTCTTCCTAATGATTAAGTACTACTTCCAATGTATTTCAAAATGCTTATTTACTATTGCTAGAACTTCTTTTTTTTTTCCTTTAGAGATAGAGTCTAGCTATGTTGCCCGAGCTAGAGCACAGTGGTTATTCACAGGTGTAATCATAGTGTACTGTAGCCCCGAACTCCTTGGTTCAAGCAACCCTCCTGTTTCAGTCTCCCAAGTAGCTAGAACTACAGGCATGCACCATGGTGCCTAGTAATTCCTAGAGTTTCTGTATTGTGGATTTCACTAATGAGTTTCAATTCTTCCAGATATTAACATTTGTGATGTTTTCTCTTTCTTCCAGTAGTTCTTTCTCCTTTTTTGATAAACCTAGGGGAAACAGTTTGACTTCATGAAAATCCCATCAAATACTTATAACTGAGTTAATTCATGTGAACCCAGAGTACTTAGATGCTGTGAAGGATACAAGAATGAGAGCAAAATTTAAAAATTTAGGAGCTCTCAAATTTAGCTAACATATATAGGTTCCCATTAATTGATAATAAATACTTTGTAAAACATGTCTAAAATTCTGCCTTTTATTTCCTATACGACTGCACCTGTATGGATTACTCTAGATCAACAATAGCTACCTCACTGCTTCACTGCTTAACAATGCTCTCAATACTCATCCACTTGCTGAATGACATTTGTGTGTCTGCTGTTGCTGCTGCTCTTATCACCATTATTATTAAAAACATCATTTGTTGAATGCTCATAAGGGCCAAACACTACATACCTTATATACTAGCATTTCATTAACCCTTTTAATCATCTCCAAAGGAGGATCTATTAATCTAACTTAACAAATGAGGAAAGGAATTAAGTAGGATGCTAGTTAGAAAGCTAGAAAGTGGAGGAACAGAGATTCCAACCTCAATATGACTATTTCCAAAATGTGTGCCTAAGTATTATTTTGATCAAAGGAAGACATGCATTCTTTATACTTCTATCATCCCTTTGATATCATCTTCTTTAGATTACCTCATATAGAGAATGATAAAGAAATTTTAAAGTTCTATACAGATAAATGCTGGTCCCACATCAAATACATGAAGTTTTTTACCTGTGCCCTTCCTATATGTATCCCACAGCTAGCCGATAATTGTGCAATTGTATTCATTTTGCTATAGAAACAGATACAATAACAGAAAAGTTGAAAAGATAAACTCATAAACTATTCAAAAGCATTTCTAAATTATGACTACTAATTATACTTTGGGGGCTGTGGAACAGGGTTCAGAAACTACCTATGGATGGATTTAGAGTCTATCACACTCAGAATATTCATTATTGGGGAATGGGCCCCCACCACTGCACAATACGTCCATGTAATGAATATGCATGTGTACCCCCTGAATCTAAATTTTTCTAAAAAGTATACTTTAGATTTAGGTCCGTACATCTTTTTTATGTGATTAATAAAAAAAATAAAAGAAATTATATGTGCCCTTAACTACACGGGAAGAATAAAACATATAAATCTGTGCCATATTATTAACATTACATAACAATGCTTTTTATTCCAGAATAAGGAAATCACTTCATTTCTGATTTCATAATTTTTTCTCATCACCAGACTTTTATTGTGGAGATTCCATTATAAGTAGAAAAACATCAGCCCAAAGGTTAAACGACTTTTTTCAAAAGATAAAAATCCTGTGCCTAACATCTTTTTTCTAATCAAATGTAGTGATTCATTAAAGACAACCATAATACTGTTTAAAGAATAACAAATGATTACTATATATTCATACACATAGGAAAATAGATTAAAAAAAAAATACAAGGAATACTCTGAAAGGGCTTCCACAAACTAATAAATCATCTTAGTTTCCTGAATGTAGGGTAAGCACAAACATTTGCAGGAATACTTTCCAGTGTCATTACCTTGCTTTCTTTGCTGATTTTTTTTTTTTTTTTGGAGTTGGAGTCTCACTCTGTTGCCCAGACTGGAGTGCAGTGGCCGCTCCCAGTCACCAGAGCCTCGAACTGCTGGGCTCCGGCGATCCTTCCGCCTCAACCTTCCAAGTAGCCAGAATTACAGGCATGCGCTACCACGCCCGGCTGATTTTTTGATTTATTGTAGAGATGAAGTCTCACTGCCCAGGCGGGTCTCGAACCCACGGGCTCAGGCAATCCACTCACCTCAGCCTCCCAAAGGCGCGGGATTACAGGTTGAGCCACCGAGCCCAGCTTGCTGATGTTTTTATTCTTTCTCAAAACATCTTTTGTTTTTTGAGTAGGAGTCTCACTCTGTTGCTCAAGCTGGAATGTAGTGACACACAGCCACCGCAGTCTCAACCTGCTGGGTTCAGGTGATTTCCACTTCAGCCTTCCAAGTAGCTAGAACTACAGGTGTGCACCACCATGTCTGGCTAATTTTTTGACTTACTGTAGAGATGAGGTCTTGCCAAGTTGCCCAGGCTGATCTCAAACCCCTGGGCTCAGGCAATCCTCTTGCCTCCATCTCCCAAAGTGCTGGGATTACAGGAGTGAGCTACCAGGCCCAGCAAAACATCTGCTTCAGTATTCCCTCGTAAACAGTGCAAATACTTGGGGAGGTAAATAGTATGATCAAATGCCTTAGAAATCATGACTAATGAAAATTAGTTGCAGAATGGATAACATGAATGTTACTGCTATCTGGGACTCTTCCATTTTTTTCCTAACCTGTGACTAAATCATCAGCAAAAAATGTGTAAATCAGATTGTTCAAATTCTTCTAAACTACATAAAAATGCTAAAAATACAAAAGAGTGAATTATCTTTAGTACCAGACAGAATAGCTCAATCTTTAGAAACTGATTTCCAGATTATTTTTTCTGCCTTTTAAATCATAAAGTCTACTCCTGGCTTTCTACAGTTCTCCAAATACTCAGTAAAGATCAGAATAATCCTATGACTGTTTACTTATTTATTTTGAAAAATATAATAAAGAGCAAGAAATTATTTTAAAAGGGAAGTAAAAAGGTCTTTATTTTCATGTGTACAAAAAGTTAAAAAATTTTAGCAGAGTATCAAATTTTGCTCATCCACCTATATGAATTGTTTCTTCCAAACTATTTTTAAAAATAAAGACATGCCCCATCCCAATTCAAACTAATGTAAAATAATAACTGTATGGACTTCGCAGCACCTTGGATGGGTTTAGAGTCTATCATACTCAGTGATCTTTCACAGAAACAAAGAACAGAGTACCACATGTTCTCACTCATAAGCAGACCCTGAACAATTACCATAATACCTTAAGAAAGGGATTGGCAGTAGTGGGATACAACAGGGGTGAGGAGAGCGGGGGACACACAACATTAATAAGTGTCCCTGATCTCAAACCAGACAAAGTGGGGACCAAAAGGAGGCCCAAACTTTACCTGTAAGATTATCACTTGTATACCTAATCCTGAATTGTACCCCACATCTTTAAATTAAAAATAAAAAATGAAAAACTAACAATTTTAAAAACATTTAAGACTATTTTGTATAAGTTACAATGAAAAGCAGTTAAACCAGAAATGAAAAACTCCTTAGGCACGTAACAGGTATCTAAATATACCCTCTCACATGAGAATGTTTTGGAGTTAAAACAAAAACAAAGGAATTCTCCATTTAAGTAAAGCTTCCATAAATTAAAATTTTCACCAGGTGCAGTGGCTTGTGCTTCTAATTCCAGGACTTTGGTGGGAGGATTGCTTAAAGCCAGGAGTTTGAGACAAACCTAAGCTACACAAGGATATCTTGTCTCTATAAAAAAAAAAAATCAAAAAATTTGCAAGATATAGTGGCACATGCCTGTAGTCCCAGCTACCTGGGAAGCTGAGGAGGAAAGATCACCTGAGCCCAGGAGGTCGAGGTTGGGGTGAGCTGTGATCATGCTACTGGCACCCCAGCCTGGATAACAGAGTAAGGCCCTGACTCAAAAAAATCCCCAAATTATAATTTTCATTTTTTGCAAACATTGACTATCACACCAATTTTATGGTGCTGTACCTAAAAATAATACAATATACCTCAAAATATACAGAATTCAGTCAGGCATATTTTTAGTTAAAAAAATAGATTTCATTCTTAAAAAGGCTGGCAGATTCCTAGTGTGTCATTATATGCTTCACAATATATTCCTCTGTATGTTCCAAGAATTATTTTTGAAAAAAAGATTGAGGGGCACTTACCTCAAAAATAAAAAGTATCGCATCCAATTCCTCCCTTTGAGACTTGTGACCTAAAACATTTGTACAGGAAAATATTTTAAACATAGAATTTTGTCCTCATTGTTAACAATCACTTAATAAGCTTAACATATTTCAAGCACATAAGTTGTTTTTCAGTGATTCTTTAATAAAATGTTCAAAGCATATTCTAGTCATGTAGACAATCTCACTCTACTCTTTTGAGTACTATAATTAAATTTAGGTTCTATATATTTATGCCTAAAAATAAATCATAACATATTGTAAAAAACTTTAAATGAGGCTGGGCACGGTGGCTCAAGCCTGTAATCCCAGCCCTTTGGGAGGCTGAGGTGAGAGGATTGCCTGAGCTCAGGGGTTCAAGGCCAGCCTGGGCAACTTGGTGAGACCTCATCTCTACAATAAATTAAAAAATTAGCCAGGCGTGGTAGTGTGCACTTGTAGTTCCCACTACTTAGAAGGCTGAGACCTGAACCCAGCAGGTCGAGGCAGTGGTGGCTGTGAGCGAGCCACTGTACTTCAGCCTAAGTGATAGAGTGAGACTCCATCTCAAAAAAAATGTCTGCTCAAACTTGAAACAGGCCTCCAGGGTAGAACAAAGAAGACAGGATCAAGGAAACATTTAAACTTGAAGAAGCAAATCTGCAAAGCCTTTGTAAAGTAATAAAGACAGTTATACTTACCTATTACTTGTCTTTCTGATACTTATTTCTAGACCTATAGTAATAGTGTAAGGGTGTATCAAAACTGACAAAAAGAAATAAAACAATACTAAAATTCTAATGTCCAAGAGCCTCTTATTTTATGAAAATTATCGGAAGCATTAACATAAGCCAGGATAGATGCTAACATCTTACCTTTTTGTTTAAGACTAGCTTCAATCATCACAAAATTCTCAAAGAACACATAGTAAATATGAGAAAAATGTTGATCAAAAAACTGTTTGAGATCGATAGATTCTGCATTCTCTGAAAAATAAAAAAAGTTTAATTATTATTATTTACATATGCTATATAATGTTTAGCAGTCACAATGCCAAGTTTCCTTCCAAGTCAAAGAACTGCTCCTAAAATTTATCCTACAAATATTTGAGATATGTACCGATCTATCTATACTCTTGTTCTCAAAACTTCAGTCTTGGAAGATTATAGTTTTAACATTAAGAGCTGGTCAAGAAAACAAAGTCTCGAAGAAATTTATTCAAAATCATTAGCCACTTACCAAAAAAAATTAAGATCTATTTTCAATTCACAGTAAATAGGTGTATAAAAATAAGTTTTGTAAATAGACATTTAAGGATTACAAAGCTCAAACACAGATAGTTCTGCTCTAAAAAGATTGTCAGCATAGTACAGGGCATGCAAAACTAAACATACAACTATATGCACAGCAGAAGTGCTAGTACCAAAAGTAAGGTTACAAAGTATGTGGCATATTAGAAACACAAGACTGCTTTCAAAGCTCAATGAGGCACAAAGGTGAGGAAAGAAGAAAAAGCCTGACAGAGGGTATAATATTTGAAAAGACTTGTAAGGATAGAAAGGACAATAGACATGAAGTGGCAGGGTTGAATGGGAAGGGTATTCAAGGCATAAACAAAACATGAAGCATAAGAGGATGCAGATAAATCATTTTGCCTAGAGCTTAAAGTGTTTTAATGAAAATGAAAAGTAGGCTTGAGATGCATTTGTGTGTTCGTAAGCACATGTATATGTATTTATGCACAGAAAATACCAAATTATTAGTAGCTGTTATCTCTAAGAAGCATGACCAGTTTTGTTGTATGGTTCATTTTCAGTGGAAGTGAGAACACTGAAGAAAAAGGAGAGGGAGAACTTGTACTTTATATTATACTCACTACTATTCCAATTTGTTTACAAAAAGCACACTATTAGTATTACAATGGAAAAAATTTTTTTTGTTGTTTTTTTTTTTTTTTTGAGTTGGAGTCTCACTCTGTCGCCCAGACTGGAGTGCAGTGGCTGCTCCTGGCCACCGCCAGCCTCGACCTGCTGGGCTCCGGTGATCCTTCTGCCTCAGTCTTCCAAGTAGCTGGAACTACAGGTGCATGCTACCACACCCGGCTAATTTTTTTGATTTATTGTAGAGATGAGGTCTCGCCAAGTTGCCCAGGTGGGTCTCGAACCCGCGGGCTCAGGCAATTCACTCACCTCGGCCTCCCAAAGTGCAGGATTATAGACTGAGCCACCAAGCCCGGCCAAAAAAAATTTTTAAAGAGACCAAAAAAAAAATGATCTTTAAACCTAAGAATGAATAAACTATTAATTATAAATAAACTCAAGTTAAAGGTAAGCAACAATTAATGACACAGAATGCTGTAAGACTCAATAAAAGACTTTAAAATAAAGCAAATTACTAGTAACACAGCACTTTAAACTCTTTCATGTATTATCTTATCCTATGAATATTAACAATAATTCTTTAGTGCTATCTCACCTATGGAATTTTCCTCTTTTACTCTGCCCTTCTAAAAGCAAAGGGATAGATGCCTTTCCCCTCTATTTCTTGGATTCTCTACATTTCTCTTATGGAAATAACAATGATTCAATGTTTTCTTGTTCTTTTTCCTAGTCTAGCTTCTTTAGAATACAAGCTGTAACTATCTCAGGAATCCGGAAACCTAGTTCAATGCTGAGCAAACAATATATACTCAAAATGTGACTTATTATTAATAAAAGGTTATTTTTACTTTGTTGTATTCAGTTCATGTGAAGCTTGGAAATTTTTCCCTTGGAAAAGACAGCCTATTGATAGGGAAAATAGCACTGCTTCATCTTGACTGGAATTAGATCATCTAGACTCCACTCCTGTCTGTAACAATTACTATCTGTGTGACTTTTCACAAAACTAGAAAAATAATAATGGCTAACACAAACTGAATGCTTCCTATACACAGACACTCTTTTAAGTACTTTACAGAAACAAATTCCTATAACCCTCATAGCAACAATATGAAGTTAGGCCACAGAGAGTCTGAATAACTTAACAAGTAAGAAGTAGAATCAGAGCCAGGCTTGGTGGCTCAGCCTGTAATCCCAGCGCTTTGGGAGGCTGAGGTGAGGGGATTGCCTGAGCCCGCGGGTTCAAGATCCGCCTTGACAACTTGGTGAGACCTCATCTCTACAATAAATCAAAAATTAGCCAGGCGTAGTAGCGCGCGCCTGTAGTTTAACTACTAGGAAAGCTAAGGTGGAAGGATTGCCAGAGCCCAGCAGGTCGAGGCTGCAGTGGCCGGCAGTGGCCACTGCACTCCAGTTTGGGTGACAGAGTGAGACTCCAGCTCAAAAAAAAAAAAAAAAAAAAGTAGAATCAGGAGTTAATAAACACCAAGCCCCCTAGACCTAGTGTCTATAACTTCTATGCTATACAGTTTATAAAGAACACTAGATATTCATCTATCATCTGCCCATAAGAATCAGTCATCAAATATTTAATATATTTTATGAAGTATAAAAATAACATATACAAGTGAAATGAATGGGCAAAGTGTTCTATTTCTCCAAGAGAGTATTTTAAAGAATTTGAAATTAAAATAAAATAGACTGCAAAAATTACCTCTAAATTTCCTGGAACTAATGTTTCAAACATGATGTTCCAGGAGAAAAAAGAAAATGAGAACAACAACAAAGCAAAACAAAAAGCAAACATGAATCAAGGCAAGATTTTGTGACAGATCAGTAGCCAAAACATTCTCTTAATTTCCTTCCCATTTGGCATGCTAACAAAGTCTGGAAAATACATACTTGCTAATGCTAATTAAAAAAATGCTAGATTAAAATTAAACCAATTTGATTTTTACTCTATAGTTGTTTGTAATGAACTTGTTAGAAAATAAAAACTCTTTTATAAAGTATTTCTGATCATCAAGTCACAAACTGACATGGTGGGGAAAGAAACACAGAAGAGATACTGTATAATAGAAGAGTTTCATTTATTTAAAAACAACTGGTCAGGTGTGGCAGCTCACACCTGTAATTCCAGCACTTTGGGAGGGGGAGATAAAAGAATCACTTGAACCTAGGAGTTCCAGACCTGCATAGGCAACAAGGTAAGACCCTGTCTCTACAAAAAGTAGAAAAATTAGCCCAGTGAGGTTGCACACACCTGTAGTCCCAGCTACTTGGGAGGCAGAGGTGGAGGCAGAAGGCTCCTGAGCTAAGGAGGTCGAGGTTGTGGTGAACCATGACTGTGCCACTGCACTCCGGCCTAGAGAACAGAATGAGACCCCCAACTCAAAAATATTTTTTTAACAACAACAAAAAAAAACCCCCAATTATCTGTCCAAAACAGTAACACAGAAGAAAATGAAAAAGGAAGAAAATCCAGAAACAGATTATGAAAAAAATCCAACCACTTTTAAACCTCAAAGCCAAGTCCTATCTTTTCCAAAAAAGATGACCCTTAGCTCACTCAGCTTCTCTTTTCATGAGTGCCTCTATTACTTTTTGTTTTGAGGTTTTTCTTTTGTTGGAGTCTCACTCTGTCACCCAGTCTGGAGTGCTGTGGCATGCTCATGGCCACCCCAGCATTGATTTGCTGGGCTCCAGCGATCCCTCCGGCTCAGCCTTCCAAGTAGCTGGAACTACAAGCTCACACTACCATGCCTGGCTAATTTTTTTTTTAGTTTTTATTGTAGAGACAAGGTCTTGCCAAGTTGCCCGTGCTGATCTCAAGCCCGTGGGCTCAGGCAATCCACTTGCCTCGGCCTCCCAAGTACTGGGATTATAGGATGAGTCACAGACCCTAAATATGTCATATGAGCTAGTTATTCTCCTACAGATACTGCAAGCTCTTTACGAAGAGCAAGCAAGCCTTGACTTTTTTTTTCTTTTGGAAACAAAGTAATTTCTCTGTCACCCATGATGAAGTGCAGTGGTGCAGTCATAGCTCACTGCAGCCTTGATCTCATGGATTCAAGGGATCCTTGTGACTCAGCCTCCCAAGTACCTTCAACAATGGGCGTATGCCACCACATGGGGATTTTTAAAATTTTTTTATTTTTTGTAGAAACGAAGGTCTCACTATGTCATTCAGACTCCTTACTTCTTTTATAACCCTTCAAAATGGTAATCTATAGGGAGTGCTTTGTATCATGCTGGGCTGATGGTCAGGGCTTTCCAAAAAAAAGTTTAAGGCTTCAAAAATTTTCCCTATTTGTGGAAACAGGTCTATTTGATTTGAAGTGTTTATGAACTAGTATTTCCTTAAAGAAACCAAATACTTATTTCACCACAAATTCAGATTAAAGTTTCTGAAATTTTAAAAAACTAACTCAGGCTTAGGAATGCTTTGTAGACCCTTGAGAACATTAATTTTAAGTAGCAGAATAATTCTAGACTGCATTTAATTTAAATAAATAAAATTTCTCAGATGTCTCTTTAGGATCTTTTTATGATATGCTTTAAAACCTCATCATAATACACTTACTATCTACTACATATTTTTAAGACTTGTAAGCACTATAATATATATGTAATTAAAAATTCCAAAGGCCAAGACTCCTGACTTTAGGGTTCATATACTGAATATTCCCCTAAAATAAATATCACATACCCAAGCTGGAGGACTGAAAATTCAACAAATTTTGTAGAATCAGCATTCTTTTTCATCACTTTTTTTTTCTAAATCACCATTTAGAACTGCTTTTCAAACAATGGCATCATACACTAACCTGTGCAGTATATTACAAGTAATGTGTTTCTACCAATAAAGTACCAAACACTGTAAATTACTGCCTTAAAAGAATCAGTAATAATGATAATGCACCCAACAATATGGTATACTGTTCCAACACAAACAATAACTAATAACAGAAATGATAGTTAAAAATAAATAATACAAGCAATTTAATATCAAGTTCAAAAAAAGAGAGGGGAGGAAGAGAAAGATAAGAGAGGAAAATAGGAAAGGAAGAAGTAGGATGGAGGAAGAGGAGACAAAGGTGGAG